GGCCCCCAGTGGCCCCTAGAAACTACAGGGTGGACCCCAGTGGCCCCCAGTGGCACCCAGTAGCCCCCAGAAGCTATACGGTGGCCCCCAGTGGCCCCTAGAAGCTACAGGGTGGCCCCCAGTGACCCCCAGTGGCACCCAGTAGCCCCTAGAAGCTATATGGTGGTCCCCAGTTGCCCCCAGAAGCTATACGGAGGCCCAAAGTGGCCCCCAGAAGCTATACGGTGGCCCCCAGTGGCCCCCAGAATCTATACGGTGGCCCCGAGTGGCCCCCAGATGCTATACGGTGGCCCCCAGTGGTACCCAGTAGCCCCTAGAAGGTATACAGTGGCCCCCAGTGGCCCCCAGTGGCACCCAGTAGCCCCTAGAAGCTATACGGTGGCCCCCAGTGGTCCCTAGAAGCTATTTGATGGCCCCCAGTGGCCCCTAGAAGCTATACGGTGGCCCCCATTGGCACCCAGTAGCCCCTAGAAGGTATACAGTGGCCCCCAGTGGCCCCCAGTGGCACCCAGTAGCCCCTAGAAGCTATAAGGTGGCTCCTAGTGGCCCCTAGAAGCTATACGGTGGTCCCCAGTGGCCCCTAGAAGCTATACGGTAGCCCCCAGTGGCCCCCAGATGCTATACGGTGGCCCCCAGTGGCCCCCAGAAGCTACAGGGTGGCCCCCAGTGGCCCCCAGGGGCTCCCAGTGGCCCCTAGAAGCTATACGGTGGCCCCTAGTGGCCCCTAGAAGCTATACGTTGGCCCCAAGTGGCCCCCAGAAGCTGTACGGTGGCCCCCAGTGGCCCTCAGAAGCTATTAAGTGGCCCCTAGTGGCCCCTAGAAGCTATACGATGGCCCCCAGTGGCCCCTAGAAGCTTTAGAGTGGACCCCAGTGGCCCCCAGTGGCACCCAGTAGCCCCTTAAAGCTATACGGTGGCCCCCATTGGCACCCAGTAGCCCCTAGAAGGTATACAGTGGCCCCCAGTGGCCCCAAGTGGCACCCAGTAGCCCCTAGAAGCTATACGGTGGCCCCCAGTGGCCCCTAGAAGCTATATTGTGGCCCCCAGTGGCCCCCAGAAGCTATACGGTGGCCCCCAGTGGCCCCCAGATGCTATACAGTGGCCCCCAGTGGCCCCCAGAAGCTACAGGGTGGCCCCCAGTGGCACCCAGTAGCCCCTAGAAGGTATACAGTGATTCAAATGAGGACTTCCATTTGCCAAACTTAGAAGGTGGGGTGTACTTATATGCCACCACCAAAAGTGGTGACATATTGCTATACCCTCCCATGTGTTTAAAATAAGTATTGTGTTATGGAAAAGAGTGAACGATAAAGTCCAAAAGAACTATTATATCAACTGTCCTGAATTGAACAGGTACGTTCGGTAATAGATGCCAAGTTTGGGTCTTACAAGAATTAAATTAGTCCAAGAGTTCGAACATTGTTGATGACAACTTTGATGAGTTTAATCGTCAAATATAAAGAATGTCTGATAAGCGATTTAAATGATGACTTTTGTTTGCTTAACTTAGAAGACGGGTGTACTTGTACTACCCTAAAGTTGTGACATATTGTTATTGTGTCCCACTTTTTGTGGATTATGTTCGGCGTTTGGCGGATGGTGTTCGGCGTTTGGTGTCAGTATCAAATGGCAGGTGGTGACATTTTGCACGTTAATGCCTTTTTTCAGTAATATGATAGTCGTGGTTTACCTTGGATTAAAATATCCAGTCATATTATGTGAATACATACAAATTAGAAAACCGTATATTTTTATTCTTCATTCAATGAGCCAAAGTAACTGTCGCAAATAATTACAGAGTGGGCCAAAAAACCAATACCCAACTTCAAATCAGGATAAAAATAGTTACATTTAATATGGTACATAGACTCTCATATCATTTTAAAGGTTATACAATTTCAAACAATTTGGTATATAAGACTATGTCATGAAATCAATAGTAAAGTTTTATTATACTTGTTTGGGAGGTCGGGTTGCTATTTGGGGTCTCTAGATTTTAGATAGTAAATCTGTGGGATTATGTTAATTTTTTATTTATAGAATATCATTCTTTTGTTAGGCGAATACATGCTTGGATATTGATATTTGCATCATTGTGTGACTTAATTTATTGTTCATGAATTTCAATGTTGTTTAATAACATTTTACACTTTATTTATTTAAACAATTTTAACAATTGCTCAATGTACCCCACCCCATCCCTCTGCATCAACAATAAGCTTCAAGTGGTAGCGCAATCTATCAATAGCCTTATTGAGAGATTTCTGTTGCAATTCCTTTCAGCACTTTGGGATTTTGTTTCAGCTCATCAATGCTGTTTATTGGATGCTTTTGTTGTACCATTTCCTCGAGATGGCTCCATGTATGGTAATCAAACACATTAGCATCGGGGCTGTTGGGTGGCCTAGCATCGAGATCAATCAAATTGACACCTTGTTTGCAAAGAAATGCCAATGTCTCCTTTGATCTATGGTACGAGGCAATGTCTTGTTGGAAAATAAAACCCTCGTCACATATACCTTTAATGTCTTTTAACAGACCCCCTTTGAGTACTTATTGATAATGAACAACACCAAAATCCATAAACAATAAGTTTAGTCACACAATATGCAAATATACAAGCATGTATTCATCTAACAAAATGATATTCTATAAATAAAAAATTAACATTATTCCCCAGATTTACTATTTTCTCTCTAAAATATGGATACCTTAAATACCGACCCGGTCTCCTAAATAAGCAAAATAAAATTTTAATATTGATTTCATGACATAGTGTTATATACCAAATTGTTCGAAAATGGATTACCTTTAAAATGATATATAAATCAATGTATCATATTGAACAAAGCTATTTTTATTTTGATTTAAAGTTGGGTATTGTTTTTTTGGCCCACCCTGTAGACATGCTCATATCTCGATTATAACTACGCCATCTTTCAAATGTTGTCACTTAACGATTTATCATCTTGAAAAGAGCATCTTTTAGATTTGTTGAATTTTCTAGCAGAAATTTGCTGCTTGCCTCTTAGCTCCTTTTTCGATTTACGGGAAGCGATGATAAAAGTAGAAAAGCTTATGAAATCAACATTTCAATTAATAGTGCATAAGTACAAATAAATCCTATATTACCATTATATAAGGCAACGATTAACCGATTCTTCATTTCTGATATTTGAAAATTCCAATGAGAATAAATGAGAAGTACATATACGTTTAATATTTAACAGAAATACTTTGATAAAACGCACACGCATGGCAACATCTCAATGTGTAAACCATCATGATTCTATTTTATTTATAAAATAATAACACATGAGTTTTTGAACTTCATAATTGGCCATGAAATAAAATGAGAATGCGTGAACTAGAGCCGAGATGATCCTTTACCAAGTTTGTTCAATTAGAAGTATCGAATATGCGTGGATTTTGATCAAAAATTACTACGTTGCTGAACAATTAAATTGAATAGATCTAAATACGCACTGATCGGAGTTTATATGCACGTGTCAATCATCCGATCTTACTTTTTAGTCATCTCATTCTAGATATTTTACATGGTAGATCTTACCAGACCAAAAGCATCCTACAATTAAATTCCCCTCATTGTCTATTGCAACATCTACAGGACAATTGATGTCAATGCTCTTGTTAATCATCCACTCTTACTTCTATAGTCACCTCATTCTAGATATTTTACACGGTAGATCTCACCAGACCAAAAGCATCCTACAATTAAATTCCCCTCATTGTCTATTGCAACATCTACAGGACAATTGATGTCAATGCTCTTGTTAATCATCCACTCTTACTTCTATAGTCACCTCATTCTAGATATTTTACACGGTAGATCTCACCAGACCAAAAGCATCCTACAATTAAATTCCCCTCATTGTCTATTGCAACATCTACAGGACAATTGATGTCAATGCTCTTGTTAATCATCCACTCTTACTTCTATAGTCACCTCATTCTAGATATTTTACACGGTAGATCTCACCAGACCAAAAGCATCCTACAATTAAATTCCCCTCATTGTCTATTGCAACATCTACAGGACAATTGATGTCAATGCTCTTGTTAATCATCCACTCTTACTTCTATAGTCACCTCATTCTAGATATTTTACACGGTAGATCTCACCAGACCAAAAGCATCCTACAATTAAATTCCCCTCATTGTCTATTGCAACATCTACAGGACAATTGATGTCAATGCTCTTGTTAATCATCCACTCTTACTTCTATAGTCACCTCATTCTAGATATTTTACACGGTAGATCTCACCAGACCAAAAGCATCCTACAATTAAATTCCCCTCATTGTCTATTGCAACATCTACAGGACAATTGATGTCAATGCTCTTGTTAATCATCCACTCTTACTTCTATAGTCACCTCATTCTAGATATTTTACACGGTAGATCT